CGGCTGAGCCTGCCCTGACGTGTGAATATAGCGTGTGCCCCCCCCCCCAACCTCCTCGGGGAGGGAAAAGCGGCCCGTTCTCACCTCCCTTCGACAGGATTCCCAGGGCCTCGTTTCTAAGCGAAGCCAGGGGCAAGAAAGGGAGAGGGAGAGAGAGAAATATCTTGGCTGGCGTAGAACCCGTTTGGCCGGCCGGGCTGGCTCCCGAGCTGTTAAAGTTCAACCAAATGTTCCCTCCTGCCTCACACTCGGCCGAGCCCGGCCCGGCTCTGCGCTCCCGGCTGGGGAGGGACGCCGGCTGACCCGACACGAGCGTCGCCCGTTCCGACCAGAGGACCGAGGAAGACTTGAATGGATCACACGGCTCCGAGGAAGCGAAAGGCTTCGCTTGCGCTGCGGGGGGGACCGGGCGGCGGAGGCGTATTTCCAGAGGGACCCCCCCCCAAAAAAAAAAACCCCACACCCTCCTCCGGTTTCTACGTTTGCCCAGGATCCTTTTCCCAGCGGCAAGGCCGGGGAACCGGAACCGGACAAACGGAACCAGGAGAGCTCAAAACGAACCGGCCCTCCCTTTGGTCTTTGGTCTTGGCGTTTCTTCCGGGCTTGGCCTTCCAGGGCCTGCTCCCGACGGGTTTGGGGGAAAGGAAAAGCAGAGAGGGCCGGAACTGGGGGGTCGGGGGAGGTCGAAGTCGGCCTTCTGGGCTGGACAAATGAGGCCGCTCCAGGAACCAGGCTTGGATCGGGACGCCTTTGGAGTCGTATTTCAGTCGAGGCTGCGCTGCGGTGGAGGATACAGGGACGTCGTCCCGGCCGCTGCAAGAGGGCGACCCGCTGGGATCCCAAGCTGCGCCCTGAGCGTCTGGCGCCCGGACCGGCTGGGGTTGCCGAAGCAAAGGGGCGCCGCGGGGGCTCCGGGCTGCTGAGAGAACCGCGCGGGTCCCTCCTTCCCGGTGGTCGGGGGTGGGGTGGGGGAGGCGAGCCCGCCATCCCTTCCTGTGAAAGATTAACTCGTCCCCGGGATCCCTCGACTTTCCTTTCGTTTTGATCGCCCGACAGTGAGCGATAAACGCCGCCGAGCGTGGAAAACGGGTCTTCCCCCCCCCAAAACGACTTTCCCTGCCTCTTCCCCCCCCCCCCCCCCCCCCAGCCGCACTCCAATAAATACCCAGCCGAGGCTATTAAAAAGCGCTCGCTCTCTCTCGAGAAGAAGAGGAAGAAGGGAAAGAAAAAAACAACAACCCTCCTGCCCGTTCCCACCCTGGGAAACCGCAGCCGCCGTCCCAACTCGCTTAGTCCGCCGGAAGGAAAGTAGACTTTTTCCATCCGCGGACCAAAAAAGAAGAAGAAAAGGGGGGAGGGGTGTACCGGCCGAACCGCGCTTCGGAACCGGCTCTGGCTACCCGCCACGGAGCGTCTTGCGGGAAAGGCGAAAAGCCAAGCCTTGCTTTGGAAAGATCCGCCGTGCGCCCTGGCGTTGAAACCCGGGAGAAAACGGCTCTCTGGTTTGAACGGCGAAGGCAGACCCGAGAATCTTGTACCAGACGCGAGAATCTTAGACCAGACGCGAGAATCTCCGGGGAGCCGGTTCAAGAACAAAATAAAAACGAGAGAGAGAGAGAGAGAGAGCGAGCGAGCAAATTTTGGCTCTCTGCGATCTCCAAAGCCAACCCGCGTTTGTCGCCGTCCCGAGCACGTGTAAACGCCTGGCTGGGTGTCCTCGGTTTCCTGTCTTCCTCTACCTATTCCCTTCGCGGTGAGGTCCCACCTCAAGAAAGGACCGGTTCAGCCTCTGTCTGTGTGTGTCTGTGTGTTTGTGTGTGAGTGAAAAATCAAACGAGAAAATTAAATACTATATTTTCCGGTACGACCCCCCATTAAAACGAACGATTCGGCGCTAGCCTGCGCCCAGTCGACCGAAACCGCCCTTCCAAATCCAGCCCCTCGCCGTTCCATCCTTCCCAGCTGAAATCTCTTCCCCCAAAAAAAAGGAAAGAAAAGAAAGTCTTCTTTCGGCCCCCCCAAGGGTGCAGGAAGGAGCCCCCCCCCCCCAAGCGCTCCGCCGGCCAGCGCCGCGGCGCGCCGGGCTGGGGTTGCGCGGCGCCCCGGACGGCCGCCGAACCTCCGCCAGAAATCCGTCCGGAACTGCGGAGCCCGGCGCTTGGATCCGCGCCTCCTCCTCCTCCTCCTCTCTCTCCCCCTGCCCGGGAAGCCCTTCCTCGGCTCCCGGGACTCACCTCGTAGATATCCTCGTACTTGACGTTCTCCACCAGTTTCCAGAGCATGATGGCGGGCGGCTCTCTAGGAGGCGAATGCATTCATGTGCAGAGCGGGCAGCTGGCTTCTTACTCCTGCGCGCTCCGTAATGATCCATCTATAATTGGAAAGGGGGGACAGGCGGCCGCTCCGACGTTCCTCTCGCATCGCGACTGCGATCTGCGCGGCGCGGGAAACAATGGGCAGGGTGGGGGAGAGGAAACCGCAGCCTCTGCCCGGTCGGAAAACCGGTCTCCATTCGAACGGGAGTTTATATACAACACATACAACAGATTTGGAACACGCGCACGCACACACACGCCCGCATGCACACACGCACACACACACACGCAGAGATTGCGCATCTAATTACTCACACACCTAGGCGCGCGCCCGCGGAGGAGAGCCGCACACGCCTCCGCGCACCCCCACCCACCCCCCAGCCGCCGCCGAAATGGAGACGACTGATAAATTATATCGGCGCGCCTTTGGAGAGACGCGTTTTGGAGAGACGCGCGCGTGGGGCTGTGGCCACCCGCACGCGTGCACATGTGTATCCGCGTCTCTGCTTGGACTCGGAGGAGGACGGGGGGGCGCGTCTGGAACTTTGGAATGGGACGGGCAGCGACTGAAGAAGAGGGCGTGCGCGCCCCGCGGGCGTCCCGTGCACCTGTAGGTCAAGCCTATCGAATATTGTTAGTCCAATTGTCAAAGAGTAACTGTAAATCGCTCTGAGTCTGCAGGTGTGTGGGAAAGAGCGATCAATAAATCGAAAAGTATTATGACTATTATTATTACTATTATTATTACTATT